TGAAGAACTTCAAAATTATAAAGTTGTAGTTTTATGATCTATTGACCAAATTTTCTTTTTGGTTCTTTTGTTTTTAATCACTGAAGAGCAGAGTAATCAGTGACAAGAGTAAAAACAGAAGTTCCAAGATATTTGTGAAAGTGTTCTATAGCCTACACAATATCAGCACATTCAAGTTCAGTAGCAGCATAGTTTTGTTTCTCTTTTCTAAAACTTTTGCTAGCATAAGCAATAAAATGTTCTTTTCTTTTATCATCTTTTTGACTAAGAGTAGCTCCAAACCCTTGATATAAGGAGTCTATAGCGAGAATAAATCTTTTTTTAAAATTTGGATATACAAGAATAGGAGCAGTGACTAACTGTTGTTTTGGCTTCTTAAAAGCTTTTGTTGTTTAGTTTTCCATTTATAAGGTTCATTCTTTTGAAGCAATTTATTCAAAAAATTAGCAACAGCTAAGAAATTACTAATAAATTGTCAGTAATATCTAGCTAGTTCTAAGAATGACCAAAGTTTGGTAATTCCAGTAGGTGAAACAATGTTTTGAACAGCTTCTATCTTTTTGAGATCAGGTGCAATTCTTTTTTTACTTACAATATGACCAAGAAAAGGTAATGAGGTCATCCAAAACTTGCATTTCTTAATATTAAGCCTAAGACCTGCTTTTCTGATTCTTTGAAATACAATTTGAAGGTGGTTCAAATATTCCTCAAAAGTTCGTGAGAAGATATTAATTAGTATTATCCAAGTACACAACTACAAACTTCCAATTGATATCCTAGTAAACATGATTTATAAGTCTTTAAAATATAGCAGATGCATTGCAAAGACCGAATAGCATAATATTAAACTCATAAATACTATAATGAGTTACAAATACAGTCTTTTTCTTATCTCTAGAGTCTATTTTTATTTGCTAATACCCACTAGCAAGATCCAAGATAGAAAACCATTTAGCTTCTGACAAAGCATTAAGCATTTCATTAATACGAAAAAGAAATAAGCATTCTTTTAATAATATTACAGTATTAAATTTTCTATAGTCTACACAGAACCGTAATTTCTTATTCTTTTCTTGACAAAAACTACAGATAAAGTTCAAGGGCTTTTGAAATACCAAATCAACTTATTTTCTAATATCCTTTTAATTTCTTTTTCAATAAATACTTGTTTATCTGAAAAAGCAGAGTAAGACCTAGATTTTATAAGAAGCACATTTTTAGTATAAATCTGATACTTTATAATATCAGTTCTTTCTAGTTCATTGATATTCTTGGCAAATAAATCTGCAAATTCATCTAATAATTTCTTAAATTGTTTGCCTTGTTTAGTCGTAAGTTAACCTATTTTTACATAATCTTTTGAAGTTAACAAGTATTCCTCTTCTAGTTCTAGTTATCCTACAGTATAAACTTTCTAAGAATTTAATTCTTCCTTCTGGAATTCTGTTTTCTCTGCAGATGCAGGCTAGGCAAAACATTGTATCCAAAATTGGTTTTGTTATTTATTCCTTTTCTCTTGCTATCATGTTAATTGCATATGATCCTAGTATAAAGAAAAAAGTAATTGGCTTAACTATTCATTTTTCTTTTGAAGTTGTAAAATTTGTTATGCTTGCTAATTTATAATATCTTGTGGTTTAGGCTCTTGTTTTGGTTCTTTTTCTTTTTGTAAACTAGTAAATGGCTTTATTTGCTTCTGATAGCATTCATTACAAAGATCTTGATTAGGCTCTAGTTTAGAAATATATTTAGCAAACAAACAATCTAAATATAAAGCTACTTTGCCTTCAAAATTTATACACAAGTTGGCAATAGCTTGTTAATAGACAAAATCAGTATTCAATAAATCAAAAGACTCGTTTAGTTGTTGTTCTTTATTAGTAGTTAATTGTATTTCACCAACACAGAAGAGCAGAGTTAATTTCTTATTTATAAACTCTTTATTAAATTTATTTGTTTCCTATTCCACTTCTGTTTAAGCAATACTCTGAGATGTTATACCAAGCAAAGTTTGGGCTAACTGGTAAATACTATCTTGGTTCATATCATAATAACTTCTAGCACTTTTGTTAGACTTAATATAATGCTTAATTCTGGTCCACAAGTTATAGTTTGAGTTATACTTGATATCTTCACTAGCTTTGTATATATACATATACTCAAAGCTACAAAACCAAATTCTATTTGGCAAATTATACATGTTGTGTTTAAGATTTTCTTTTTCACATACTATGCATTTAACTAAAGTTTCTCTTCCTAATTCTTATTTATAATAATAATAGTTTCTGAGGTCTTCTTGATTCAAATTTTCATGATAGTCCTTATAGTATACTTTGCAGACTAGAGTCCCTTCTAGTAGTATTAATTCATTACCAAATTAAAGATACTTGCATTGATAGCAATAATATTTTCTCTTTTGACTATGATAATATACTTTTTGGTTAGCAACTTTTTCTTTATTACAACCACATTGATATTTCTTATTTTCTTGTTCAAGTTTATTTCTAGAACAATTAGCACTAATATGTCCTTTGTTATCATACTTTTTATATTTATTTTCTAGACAATTCTTAAATTGATGACTTGATTGACTACAATTAGCACAAGTAATATATTTAGGTTTTTGGTAAAGATATTTAACAGCAATATGTTCATATTCATCACATCACCAACATTTGTTATATTGGCAATCTTCAAAGTAGTGATCAGTTTGTCCACATATTCTACATCACTGGTTTTTCTTGCAAGAGATTTTTGGTTTTTATTGATATATAGTCTATCCTGAATCTTTAATATTATTAGATTCTGCTTCTAAGGTATAGGCTTCATGAGAGATTAATTCCTCATCTTCATATTCTTCTTCCCAGTTATCATCTACTTTACTAACTATAAGTTGTCCTTCTACAACCTGGTTATGCTCATAAGTGGTAAGTACAATGATATGATGACTGTTCCAATACATAATATATTTCCTAGTTTTCCAATTATATTGGGATTATATTGGGTTTCTACTTTGCAAGACCAATCATTTTCCAAAATAAGGGAATAAGTAGTTGCTGGTACAACTTTTATAGAAATAGAAATAGTAATTCTTGCAATTATTACAGAAATATCCTTAATAACACTTAGAGGTCTAACTTGTTTTCCAAGTACAAATGAAATTAAACTATTAGAAGAAGTATCTATTTCCAATCCAATTTTTTTGGCAGCTTGTTGGATAATTATACTAATAGCAGCTCTATTATCAATAATAGCTATAAATAATTTATTACGAATAGTTGTTTGATACTTGACAGAAATAGTTCATAGTCTATTAGAGTATATCAGATTTACAATATTGGAGTTATCTTGCAAATAATTTGTTAAAGCTCCTCTAATACTAGTATTATTTAAAAGAGTATCCCAATAATTGGTAGAGGTAGTTTCTTTATTATTTGCTAAGTTGATATATTGACAAATAGGAGATCTATAACAGACTTCCCAGTCTTTAGACTAACTTCTAGATCTGTTTCTATCATATTAATTATAATCTTTAGATCTGCTTCTATCATATCAATTATAATCTCAAGTATTTCTTTGATACTTTTCTTGACTTCTAGATAGATTTTTTTTATAATTTCAAGATCTTGATTTGGATCTTCTTCTAAAATCTCATTTCAGTTTGAACGATTCTTTTCTCTATTAAATTAACAGTGTATAGCAATATATCCTAAATTATTATATCGAAAACAATGAATAGTTGGGTCTATACTTCTATTTCTTTCTTGATTCTGATTGGTTAGATTATAATCACTTTCAACAGTATAAGCTTTCTTTTGGTTATTTTGTTGGACCAAATTAAGACTTATATTTTTAAGACTATTGGTTAAATCTTGAATCATATTTTTTACTTTACTAGTAAATTTAGAAGCTAATATTTTTCTAGTTTCCTATCTTCTGGCTGTTTCAATTGTAGCATTTATATTTGCAGAGTTGGATGCTTGTAAATAGATAGCCAAATTAGATTGAAGATCTTGTATAAAAAATTGGTTAATAAAATCTTCTGAGAATCTTTTATTAGAATCAATTTGATTATAAAGCTTTTTAAAATGATTAATATAGATATCAACAGAATCTGCTTCTTGCTAAATATCAAAGAGTTGTTTTTTGCCAGACAGCTTGTTGAGTAGAAATAGAGAAATGAGTTTTAAACATATAGTAAAAACTACGGACTTGGGTATTATCAGTTCTAAAAGAAGTAGTAGTTTAGTCATTTAAGGATTAGTACCATTCTTGAGCAATCTCTTTGGGGCAGGCTCCAATTGTCTTTTCACATTCTATCTATTAGCAATAGCAGCACGTTCAAATTCTTTTATCTATTTAACAGGATCTTGTAACCCATTTCTTTCAAAGTATTTCAAGGTTACTAAAGTCTTTTCACCACTCGTTCTAGTACAATAGTTAAAGCTTGTATAGCAATAGTAGTATCTCATAAAGTAGCAGCTTCAATCAGTATTGTCACAGAACAGTTGTGAACAGTAAGTTTGGATACTTTAAACAATTTTGGACAATTAAATAAATTAAAATTACTCAAAATTTTATTAAGATAATCTATTTTAATTTCTAAGTAAAATATGTTCAGTATATAAAAAAATATATAATTATATATTTTTTAAACAAATTTATTAATTATTAAAGCTTGAACATGCTCTGAACACTTGTAGACACTTGGATACTTAGATGTTAGACAGTACTAAAAAGACTTTGGATAGTCAAAACGTACAACACTGGCTTCAGCTATTAGATCAGAATTTATAGGTATAGTAGGATTTGCTTCAATATCAATTTGTTTAAGAATTTGATCTGTTTCAAAACCAAATGATTCACAGAGTATACTAAAATTAGAATTTAAAATTATAGATTTAGGTGGAGAAGTACTAATAGATAATTAATATGATATAGATCTTTTACTAAAAGAACTATCTTTTAAATAAATAATATTAGTAGAGCCAGAGTATTGGATTAATTGGAGACTATTATTAGAAATATATAAAGTTTTAAGTGGTTTTAACTCTTCAGGTGAGTTAATTAAATCTTCTACTTGGTAGTCAGTATCAATATATAAGTTGTAGAGGTTAGCAAAATATATTTCTAAAGGTAAATAATGTATAAAGGTGGTATATCTTTGTAATAAATAAATTATTAAAAATTTGGGATTAGGAATTTCACTATAATAGTAATAGCTAAATATTATATCTCGAGCAGCTCTGCAAGCGATAGTAAATCTTGTAGTATACTTTAAAGTATATAGTTGATTATAAGTAGATAAGCTACAGGATTGTAATAGGGTGATAGTATGATACTACTCAATAAACAGACCAAACTGTCCGTTCAAACTGTATCATCTAAGAGAAAAACAAATAGAGCAAGATAAATCAGAATAATTAAGTTATAGATTTAGGTAAGGTAGTGAAGTAGTTTGCTAATAGGCTTGTTCATGTAAGATTATTTGATCATTGTAAAACTCAGTTACAGTAGTTATATACTATATTATATTTTGATTTTTTTTCCAGAACCAAATACTAGAATCTAATTAACTGTTTTGTTTTAAATTTGCTAGCAATATAAAAACAAAATCCTATTCAGGATATATATGGCTAGGAATATTATATCTAGAGATTTATATATAGCTAGAAATATTATGTCTAAAGATTATACATGACTAGGAATATTATATTCAGAAATTGCACATGGCTAGAAATATTACATCCAAAAATTACACACGGTTAAGAAATATTATATTCAAAAATTATATACAGCTAGGAATGTTATGTTCAGAAATTATACATAGCTGGAAATATTACGTCCAGAAATTATACTAATTTACTGTTTCTAAATTAAAGATTTTAATAAGAAGAGTTTCTTTAATACTAAAATATCTATTAATAATTTTGTGTTTCTGCCAGGAGGCATCAAAATGTTATAGCAATACTCAAAATATAAGACAATATTGATAGTTATAGAATAGTTTATTTTAATAATAAAGTTATACAAATAAGTTATACAGATAGTACAGGTAATACAAATAGTACAGGTAATACAATTCACATTACAAAAGAAGAGCATAGATATTAGATGGCCAATCCAATATCTAAAGAAAGATAGGAATTGTAGAGGAAATATTTACAGAAACTTAGACAAAAAATCTTCTTTTATATATTTGTTGAAGTAGTATACACTAGCATACACCAAGTGGTATATACTAGCATACAACTATGTGGCAGGTGGTATACACTGGCATACAACTATATAGTGGATAGCATATACTGGTATATAACTATATAGAGGTAGCATATACTGGCATATGGTATACAGTACAGTAGTATATACTTCTAACTATTCTATTTTAATAAAATATATCTAAATAATAATATAATTTAACTAATACAAAATATAAAATATAAAATATATAATATAAAATACTATTCTATGAACTATTTGTACAATATTATCAACTCGTAGTGTAAGGGCAGTATTATTTATCACCTGATTTTTTTTTATCAGAGGCTTACTCCCTTCTTCCCTTTTACTATATATCTTGATCAGGTCTTTATATATAATTTTAAATTTTTTACCCCTTTCCTTCTAAAAAATTATCTGATTTTTGTCACGTTTCTAATAATATCATTTACTAAAATAGTTAAAATTGTTTATATTTATTTTGTTGCAACAAATATATAGATATATATGAGCTATAAATATATAAATTATATGTCTAAAATATAAACAAATATCTTATAGCTAAACAAAAAAAAATATATAAACTCTTTTCACTAATTATCAAAACTATTTATACTGACAAAATTATTTTAGAATCTAAAACCTGAAATTAAAATTTGAAGATAAAATTGTTTTTGACTTATTTTATTTAAAAGACAAAATTTTTTAATATTTTTTTTGAAGAGATAAAATTATAAAGAGTATAACTATCTAAATTAGATTTGCTCTTGTATATTAAAAATTTTAATTTGCTTTAATAGAGATGAATTAAAGTTTTTTTAAAATCTATTTCGGTAGTATATACTAGGCAAATGCACAGCATTGTATGTCTGGAGTCAATATTTAATATATATACTAATATATATACTATGATATTTAATATAAGTTGATTATGTATTATTGTTTTGTTTTGTCGATTAGTTGAATTTGATTGGTTGTATATTACATAATGCGGCCGGACAAACTGACAAACAAATATTTTTTCACTTTGTATAGACATATAGCGTCCTCTGCTTCACTCCGGACAATAATCAAAATACAAATTTTTGAAAATAAAAATTAACAAAAAACTACAAAAAATACTGTATACAAAAGTTACTA